TGTAAACTGTACCAAAACATATTTCCTCAACATATCGACAATTTTCTGGAACATCCTACCTGAGATTCGACGGAGTATATTGAGCAGGTATAAACATTTTGTAAACAACCTCGGAAAATACCTACATATACCTCAACAAAACACTTTCGTAAACTACTTAAATATAAGAAGTTAGTAGAAAATTTTTGAGATAATTTTCGCAGTCATGGATTCTCGCATAAGGTTACTCAACTTTTATAAGTATCTGTGTATATGCCTACCTAAATTACTTTTGCATACTGTTGATGTTAGGCTGGAGTTGAGAGAGTGGAGCTATCTATAGATGAGCTAGGGGCCCGCTGGTATAGAAAATAAAGCATCAGAGGGTGTCGACTAGTGAGTGCTCTTGGGCCCTTCACTGGTATCCCTGACTACAGTAACACATTCCATGATACCATATTATAAAAAGAAACACCAACTTAATTATTACATCGAACTTGATAGTTTTTTAATCTATAAGTTATAGGATTTTGCATGTAAAATGATTAAAAAATTTACGTTCCAGAGTTATGGAGTGAAAAATGTATGAATTATGGGATTAATACGTTTAAAATTTTATTGGGTTTAAAAATATTTCATTATCGGGTTATTTAGTTTAGAGAAGGGCACTCAGTTCAAACTACGCTACAGGCTAATAGTTGTTACGTTCACTGAAGATCAAGTTAACAAGCAATAGCATCTATAAACTTCGAAAAAGCAACCACATTTCTAAATGTCACAGCTGTGACTCCTGCCATTATAACTGAAAGCAGAAGCTTTTAAAGTGTTTCATAAGGGCACGCTTTTTTTTAATCAAATTTAGCATCGTACTAATTTAACATACGTGTATCCATAAGTTATATCTTTTCAATTATCTTTTTTTTTATAATACAGGGAGTTACAAACCACAACCACTGCCGCCCATGATCACCCGCAACACTAGAGGCATTGCAGATATACTGCCGGCCTTTTAGAAAGGAATATGCCCCTTTCTGGAAGATTATGATGTCGTATCGGTTTGGAAATACTGCTGCTGGAAGTTTATTCCAAGGAGTGGTTGTACGTGGAAGAAAATGCTTTAAAAAACGCACGGTAGAGGATTTTCACTCATCCATATTATTGAGAAGTTTAGTTTGTGGCGGGTTGTACAGTGGTGAAAATCAGCAGCAGATATCAATCCGAACAAAATTCCTCAGAGCATTTCCACTGATAAATTCGGTAGAAAATGCACAGAGATGCAACATCTCTACGCAGTTTTAGTGGGTCGTGTCGGACAGTAAATGGCTGATCGTCAATAATTCGTGCCGCCCGACTATGAATGCGATCTAACAGGAGAAGCTGGTACTATGGCGCTCCTGCCCATAGGTGAGAACAGTATTCTGTATGTGGTCTGATTTGAATTAAAATTTCAAGCGGTGTTTCGGAGTGAAATACCGTCTCACTTTATTGAGCATTCCTAATGACCACAAAATTGGACGTCGCTGGATATATCAACACTAAGGACCCCTAGTCTCGATTTATTATCAAAAGAAGTGCTCTGAAAGTGAGGAGATACGACAAATAGCATTTGTTTTGCAATGAACGCGCAGACTTCTGATAAAACTATACAAACTGTAGAGACAGACTTAAAAAGTCACCTGAAAGGTTACTACAAACCTACTTCTACCTGCTATTACCTACCTACTTCTGCTCTACTCATGTTTTCATGTATTACTAAAGAACTAAACTTGTACAGTTATGTTTTAGTTTGAAGAGAGAACTTCTTAGTCCTCAGGACGACAACCCATAATGGATAATATGGGCGTCACAGTGTATTTTATGATTATTTATCTATGGCACTGTATATCTTTATAGCATACAGCAAACAAAAAAATTGTTTTTAACTAACTTAAAAAGAGAAAAGAAGTTATATGTTCGGCAAATATTTTTATGTTTATACACCGATCTTAGATTTCTACGCCGGTTAGCAACATCTTTTTTCACATTAAAACTTTTTATTTTATGAATGTTTCGTATAATTCCTTTTTTAAAATCGACTGTTATGAAAGTATGATTGTTTGTTAACGCCTTAACGATTTAACCAATCACTGTCATAAAGTATACCTCCTACACATATGTAGTATTTAGAATGAAAAAGGATTTTTATAGCAGTCAATCAACATTTTCCAGTCACGCGCACAAAGTCATGGGTAAAAGCTAGTATTATAATATTACGCCTTTGCGCTTTTAATGCCACTCTATTGAAATATTATATTTTAATTTATAAATTTTTATCCACAAAAATCAAATAATAATCTTTTTTCCCTTTCCTCATTAAGTAATGTTTTTATTAAAAAAAATCTGTTGAAAAATATTTGCCTTTTGCTTTAACTTACCTCGCCTTAAATTATTTTTTTTCCGGTCTTGATATTTATAAACTAATAAAAATTAGATACTGTAGTTTAGTATTGTTTTAGTTTCTATCACTTTTAATAAGACTCTTCTTGTAATTTTTTTTATATCTCCTAACATAATTATGTACAAACATCGAATACAGTATTACCGAATAATTTATACGTAATAATTTTCATAGGTTATCAGAAACGAAATAAATGTTTTCTTTCAGCCATGTGACCCTAATTTTCAGACAGCTCTTATATACGTAAAGATTCGTATCGATGATAAACCTTATATTCTGCCAAATGTGCTAAAAGTATATTCGTTACCGTCTAAAAAGTTGTCGGCGTAGGCAGACTAAGCTTTCGAATTATTTTGAGTTTTTCATGGCTTCGTATCGAGGAAATGTTTGCGAAGAAACTTATAACTTCAATTTTAACACCAAATCCCTGTAAAATCACCTTCTACCGATGAAGTTTTAATAACTCCCAAGATATTTTTTTATGAAATAGGTAATTTATCTAGTACTACATATAATTAAGTAAAGTACTATATATATTTACCTTTGCATACGTACAATAAAAATAACAAATAATATTCATGTATTTCTATAACATGCATATATATGTATTAAAATTATAAGTCATGTATTGATGTACTGATAGAAAGTTACCCCTTTCTGTACTGTCGATAATAGACATCACTAATTGTGTTCCACACAAAAAAATAATAGATACAGAACTTTACAGTTCTATTTGTATTATTATTTTGTGTGGAATATTAATATATTAAGTAGGTATGAACAATTATTACACTTCCTAATATCATTACTACACACTGTAACCACAACTAATATTATAAATATTACACATTGTGTACTAAAACCATCTAGGGTTTTATAAACTTTACCATGCAATTATCAAAGACCCTCTAGGTACATCTCTCATTTAATCGCACCTCAAAAGATTAATAAAATAAATATATACGAAAACATCAATGTTCAGACTCTTCAACCTTTTCGATTCTATTTTTGTAAATATTACATATAGATATATTACATATGTACATGTAAGCTCATATAATTATTCTAAAAGCCCACATATACCCACTGACAGCACCAGAATCCGAAAAAATAGCCTGTTCCATGACAAGCTCTGTTTTTTGACGTTCTAACGATACCTACTATTTACTTTTCATAATGTACGAGTATCATAATTTAATTGAAATAGAATTAAATAAATACCTTTTATAAATTTCCGTTTATCTCTTATAAAACTGACATATAAATCTTATTAAATAGAATCAATAGTAACAGATGTGTTTATTTAACCTTTATCATGCCTAACATTCGTCAGTCGTTTTCTAAAAATATATATAAGTATGCTTATTAATTGTCACCCACTTGAGCTCTTTTATTGTTGAACTGAAGATAATTCGTCGAAATGAACCTATTTGTCCCAAGTTACCTTTGCTTATACTCTCGGGGCTACGAACCTCGAATCGACGTATGCAAGCAGCAGCTGTGGGCATGGTTATTAGCATCCAATATCAAACTTTATCTATTTTGATAAAGTTTGACATCGGATGTGTAATGTATACAGTGATCTTTGTTATTATTAGTCACAATACTACGAGTATACTAAACAACAATCATATCTGTACTATGCTAAACAATAATCATAACTGAAATCAACAAATTCAGAAGTTTCACATGCAAAATCAAATGTTAAAAAGAAGACAAGCTATTCGATAATTCGAAGTATCTCACAAAAGTGGCACTCAATAAAAAATCATTTGACATTTCTGATAGCGTTTACAAAGACCTCCTAAACGACGAGATATTGAAGTGGGTCGATGAGTTCCGCCTGGATTTTTGTATATTTATAAAAAAAACATTATCCCATATTTCAGTTACAATAATATATTTTATAATAATAATATTTTTACACAACTAATATTAATAATATGAAACTATTTATCTATCCTATTTAAGAGCTGCGCTCTTGTCGGTAGAGTCTCTTCACCTCTTGATACGACACGACACCAACTCCTTCCTTTATCTGCCTGATGTAACTATGCCTTGGTCTTTCTCTTCCCCTCCTTCCTTCTATATATAATATGAAACTATACAACAATATTTTTTTTTAAATCTGTTTAGATTTGTTTTTAAGTAAAATAATTACATGCAATCAAATAGTTACACAAACACATAAACAAAGATTTTTGTTATTTCTTTTTTTTGATCACACTAATTGCCTAGTCCTAAAACTGTATTATGAGGGACAACAAACATCTAAGGATATTATATAACCCAGAACTTTTAGACTTAAATATATAGATTATTTCTTTTTTTTTTTTTCTTTCTAATTCCTTTTTTCTTTTCTAATCAGTAGCAAGTTTAAGTTTCTATAATATTTTGGTAAAAAAAATAAAACTAGAACCTGAAATATATCTTTTTTTAACGGAAATAGGGAAAATATTTAAAATAAAATTTATTCTTTTTAAAAGAAGGTTGATATAGGCTAATAAAAACAACAAATAAAATACTTCTAAAAAAGAAAATTAATTATTGTATGTAATAATTAAAGTACTAGCTAACGTATTTGTACATTTTCTCTAATAGATAAAGAGTAGTATAATCTAAGGTTGCAGGTAATATGCATAAAATCACAGTTATAATTATATGTCATAACAGAACATAGCGAAAACTTAAGTAAGAAACTTGTAAATTTAAATATAGATAGTGTTTTAGTAGTTTTTTTTTTTCTTTATAGTAAATCAGTATTGAATTCAAACTGAGAGCGCGTGAGTTAATCACTGGATAGCCCCCTCCCTTTGTCAGTAAGTTGACCAAGCAGACCTTTCTCTGTCGGCGAGCAGTGACACAGTGACCGCGTGCCACTCGACGGTTTGGAGGTCTCAAGCCATGCACCACTACACAGTTATAGTGCCGGTAGTGGTTGTAACATGCCATCTTGCTTTCGCGGATGCGATGACTGTTTCACCGTCATCGTCAACCTCCGAGCGCCGCGCCGATACTGATCTAAGCTTCGCAGAAAACGTTTACGTCAAACTATCTGATACATGTGAGTGGAAATATTTCGCTTCTTATATCCAGTATGTATTTAGTTAAAGTCAATGACATATTAAACATTTATTTTTGCTCTTTAACAGGTAGAGCAATCATGGATCTACGTTATAATTCACTGACCAATCAACCTAATCTTATCAAAACTATGAAAATAATCCACTTAGATGGCAATACTGTTCATTCATTTGCCATTGATATGGCTTTCGAAGCATTGACCCGGCCCAAAATGTTTGATATATCCAAACAAACAAAGATTGTTATCCATGGATATAAAGACAACTCGCAATCGGCGATACCACTAGATTTAGCACAAGCCTATAACGAAAAGAAAATATTCAATGTACTAATGGTGGATGCGGAAGAAATGTTAAATAAATGGTATATTTTGTCCGTTTATAATGCCCGGCTTGTAGGTAAAAGGCTTGCCAATCTCTTAGCAAATTTGGAACATTTCGGGGCTAATGCTGATGACTTTCATCTGCTGGGCATTAGTCTCGGTGCACACATTGCGGGCTGGACCGGCAAATACTTTAGACTATATAAATCTCGTTCTGTCGGCCGAATAACTGGATTGGACCCTGCCGGTCCTTGTTTTTCATACGCTTTTAGTGATCAAAGACTGGATAAAATGGATGCAAGTTACGTGGATATAATACATTCAAATAGATTAATCCAAGGAGTTATTGAATCATTAGGGCATGCAGATTTTTACATTAATGGTGGCGGACCAAATCAACCAGGATGTTTTATGCCAACCTGCAGCCATTTAAGAGCAGCACAAGTATATACTGAAAGTATTAGAAATCCAAAATTATTTATAGGTGTAAAGTGTGACAGTTATAAAGATTTTTTGGAAAACACGTGTGTAAAAGATGAATATGCAATACTGGGATATGGGTCATCGTTAGCAAATCGAGGCTTGTACTATTTAAGGACTACAGGAACATCTCCATACGGGCTCGGTATGGCAGGTACAAAGTCAATAGAGCCAAGTGTTGACAGCTGGTTACGGACACTAAACATGTGATTATACTATAATATTTATATGATTTTATGAATTTTGTATTGTTGCCATATTTTATTAAAAAAATCGACTACGTTATTAGTTTATGTTGTCATTAATATCCTAGTTTAAAGTAATTAGATTTTGGCTAGTGATCTAATTGTAAACATAACAGTTATAGAAAGTGTCACATTGAACATTACGTAATTCATTTCTATCTCTGCGACCTGAATAGTATACCTACCATGTTATGGTCAATAATTTAAAATATTGTCAAAGAAATAAACTAAAATGCAAAAAGTGTATCTCACAATTAGGTAGATTGCGTCACTGTTTCGTAAGAGCTCTTGTAACCGTAACGAATGCTGAATGCCATAAAATTTGCAGAACAGTGCAATTTGACATTAATTCGTCACTTTATTAGCAAAAAAGTTCTCCAGATCATATTAATTACACTGAAATAAAAATAATTTCATCCCTGTTAACATAATAAATGCTGAAGACGTAAAAACACCAAATTTGTGACTAATAAGTCTCAGTGATTTGTCAACTGATTTGCTGTAATCATTAAATTCGAATTAGTTTGATGAAAGTTGGCAGACAGATAATCTAAAATTCGTGAATATCAAATATTTCAAATACAAGTATTAATGATCCTGCAGTTTCGCCCAATGATTTCATTCAAAGTCGTTCTCTCCTTTCTATAGTGAATTTCGAAAATTCTTTCTTAAATCCTTCTGTAATCTATAAATATATACAGATACCAAATTTTAGCTCTGTATTTATTTACATTTGTATATAAAAATATAAATAAAGAATCGCAATGTTATATGTTGGAATCAACAAAACCAAGATTCTAAATGTGATCCATTTACAAGAGAGCCAGCTTTAATACGTGTACTGTTTACTTCATACCTATAATTTAAATTCATACTCATACCTAATTTACATACATCAGTTAACCGACCGTTAATTGAAGTTATTTCAGACTAGTTTTCCCCGCCACTTCTTACAGGTAGATTTGGAAGTGAAAATATCAATTAAATAGACCACTTCTAGATCGTGTATCAACATAAAACACACGTTAAAATTTTAAGTTAGTTTAAATTTTAACCTTCAGGAATCCACCTATGAAAACAATATCTCGTTTGATATAATAGTTTTAACGTAATGCCAAATCAACCATACAGATGGACAAACAAAATTTCTATACATGATCGTTTTCGCTTCTATTAGTCTTATTAAGACCCTCATATGCAGATACTGTTTAATTACAATTTTATTTTATTATTACGAGTAACTGATAATGTTAAGAAACACTGCATAGCAAATTGCCAATTCGTTTTATCTACTAATTCCATAATTGAAACTTACAATAAAAACCTAAACATTTAATGATATCTGTTAATTATATTGAAAACGTAGAAAACGTAAAAGTTTGTTAATAAACAATATAAAATATAATATTTACAAACTCCTACTTACATCTAAATTACGAAATCTCACTCTTCCGTCATTATGTCACAAATACAAGTAGCGTCAGTGTGCCAAGTGACTAGATAGACTTATTTGTAAATCTGTACACGTAAAATCGACGACTTATGGACCGATCACTTTCTTATTAGAATTCTATATCAATTTACAAAACCGAAACTGTTATAATGTGTTATCTACGGATATTCACTCAGCGCCATCGTACCTAACAAATATATCGCAAGAGATAATTAACTATAGTAATCACCATCAGGCGGATCGTTAGTACGAGTACTAACTAACGATCCGCACTAGCTTGAGATTAATCTATTTATATTTCTATTTTTATATTGCAAGTTACAATGAATCAATAGTCATCATATGTACCGATATATATGTATATATATATATATATATATATATATATATATATATATATATATATATATATATATATATATATATACTAGTAAACATTTGTAGTTACACGTATTTTGTACATAACTGGTTCTCAATTAAACTAGCTTGTACATAATGTTTATTTATTTATTTAAAGGAACACCAACAGCATATTGCATTATAACACGTATAACAAACATTAAATATAATACAATATTAATGCACATGCCTATTAAAGGCATTCACAGAATTTACTTTAACATAATTATACAGTACGTAGAAATGAAGTAACAATTATAATGAATTAAATAACACTAAACTACAAATATTTTAAAAGTTGCGTTATTAGTTATGGAAATATATTTTTTTTATACAACTTAGAATGACAAATAAGCTGACGGCCCATCTAATGGAAAGTGGTAACCGTCGCCTATAAACATGAGCAGTACCATGGGCATAACTGAGTATACTGTGTCGCCCATCATACCCCCCATGCGTTCCATTTCTGAAGATTCAGATGTTATTCCTCTGTATCTAGAGAATTCACGCCATATCCCACTCTTTAAACCGAAACACAGCCATGCCCAACCGAAACACAACTGCTTTACGGTTGAAACACGAATGGGACAGAGGTACCCAAGCAAACGACTTTTGTACAAAGTCTCCCTGTAACCTGGATTGTGAGTAATATCAATAAATACGATTATAAATGAATTAAATTAACAAACATTAAAAAATATATATATTATGATAATTAGAGTTACTTACTATTAGATTATTGTACAAAGTGATTTAGCAATTTATTCCTATAGGAATTCGAACTATCATAGATTATATCAATTTCAGGTAATTTGGCATTAATTTCATTGTATGATGTTACAGATCCTGGCCAGAGATTGATGCAGTCCTAGGTTAGTTCTGTAGCGCGGTAAGCTAAATTCTCTAGTTACAAGGTGTCGAGGATAATTTAGAGGTACCGTTAATTGGATTGAACTCAGTAAATCCGCACAATGAATTTTATTATTGAGAATTTTATGATAATATGAGATAATTTACTGTATTGTATACATAATGTAATATCATTAATAAATATCAAAAAGAGAACGGGACCCAGATGCAAGGATTGCCTTGCGATGCACCTGATTCTGCATAATACTGTTTGGACTGAAATCCGTATGACTTGAAGCGACTGAGTAGAGAACCTTCTATTCCAAAAATTCGCAAATCCGGTCCCACATGGAGTATTACTGTCACTTATTTATTTATTTATTACATCCACAGCCTTCAGTCTGTGAATGTCAGGTGAGTCTTACAGTCTTCCAATACCAGTTTACCCAGGAAAGCATGAGCACAATAAGATATAAAAAAGGAATATTACACATAAATAACAAAAATAATATAAAAAGATTTAACTCACACAAAAAAGTCTGAACACAAATACTCTGTGGTCACTCAACGAAATTCCAGCAAGTTGTCTTATTGACCGAAATATAGTAATGCACGCAACATAACGCCGAAAAATAATAGGTATGACTTGGACCAACTGAGTAGAGTACCTTCTATTCCTATACATATATTTTTGATTACCTAAATGAACTGGACAAATATCCCTTCTGCTATTTCATCACATATTATCGGTAACATCAACATATCTATTTCAATTTTGTACATTATCAACTACTGGAGGTTGTTTGTCATTTAAATAAAGGTATATACAACGCAATCGGAACCTTTCCTTAACGAAGGTGACATTTAAATAACTCGTTCATAACTCAGAGCAGCTCATAAATACAATATATCATATATCATATATCATATATATATATATATATATATATATATATATATATATATATATATATATAAATTATACGTATAAATAAGGTATAAATACTTAAATTATGTTATTCGTACAGTTGTGCCGTCATGTGCCCGACTGAATCCATTCGCCGAGATCATGGTGGTGGTTAAACCGCCCACCTGAGCTTATATAATTTAAAAACAAAGCTTTTAGTACTAAGATGCTCTCAATAAGTTTATTTTAAAACGATTAAAATTATAATCAGAGTTCCTTTGTAGTACGCTTATTACCGTCTACAAATTCTAAGCTTCCAAGTCTAAACAATTTCTCAGTTGAGTTCATGTCTCAAATTAACCTCACTTTCTACAAGAAATTTATTACTTAATAAAGATATTGTCATTCACTTTGTATGGATTTTTTTTTGTAATGAAATTACTTTAAAAATTTAATACTAAATATGCCCACCAGTTACTCCCTGATAGAGTAATTAATGTTATTTCTAGACTATGAATGTTGTGATGAACATAAAACAAGACATACTTACATTTCGCCAAACACTTAAATCCAACATGGCACGGATCAGCGTACCTCTATTTAGATTATTCTGGTTTGTTAACAGTGTTTTTCATTACCAGAGATTTGGCCGAAATTTTAATTTATCAAAAGAATGTTTATTGTTCAGGTTATAATAAAGCTTCTAACAAATCGTTTGAGGTCTATAAGTCGTAACCATTCTTATTAAAAAATTTTCGTATCCATAATAAACACAGAAACAAAATATTGTTATCTAAATTTGTAAGGTAAATAAAAATACAATATTTTTTTTTAATTTGATAATTAATAAAATACTTTTTCTTAAATTTTCCCTACAGACAATCGAGCTTCAAACCTCATTTATGCAAATAATTATACATACATATCTTTACACCACGAAGATTATCAAATAAGTAATTAATTTTATAACGTAAACCTCTGTTTAAAAAATAAATAAGATAACCAGCAAAACTGCACATCGCTAAAATATATTCACAAAATATTATAGTTACTCATTCACAGCATAATGAACCTTTATTTTTCAGAAGAAACCTGTGAGTATAAATTATTCTCGAATACTACAGCTCTCAACGGATTATTATACATAATAACGCTTAAGGGTATTTGCTGATACGTTACTTCAATATATAGGGACAACGCAAGTGGACTGTGGCCTAATTTCCATAATAAAAATCCATAGCAACTCAATCGTAAAAAACCATTTGTATTATAATCTTTGAATGATGCTGATTCTAGAGTCATTCAATCATAACGATTGTACGATGCCTTTACTGTAACTGTTCTAAACAATAATTGTAGAGAAGTGAAAATAAATCTTTTGAACATAAAAATTTACA